ATAATCAGTTTAAACATTTGTAAATAATTCCCATAAAAGTTATCATAAACTAAGCAAAAAAATGTTATTTGTACCAATGTAACCTGAAACAAAATGTCTAACAAGTATATTCATGCCAAATGACTTAAAGATGCTACTCAATATAGTATGAACAGCAGAGATCAACACACAATGATTATTTAAAGATCAAAAATGGAGTGCTTTTTACTGATGAACAACAAAGAAGCAGGTTGATAAACTTTCCAGGTTTAAACATAAATACACATTTTTCCCTACAAAGTACAGTCTTTCATTTTACCTGAGGATGAAGCTGATGTTTGACAATCAATACTAAAAGACTCCAGAGCAATTTATCATTACTTAAGTAACATAAAAGTGTATTCAAATCTAATAATACCTGAAACTTAAGTGTAAGTATGTAAACATGTTTATGCTCTACAAGATATACTACAAAATACACATGCATACGTGTACTCGCTGATCTCCTCCAACCTGAACTCCAGTGCTGCAGCTCCTCCACTGCATTGTTGGGGTAGCTTCTGGTATTAGTTATTGTTAAACGAATGAAAATTACTGTCCTCCAATAAATCAACTTTGTTAGGTTATAATCTCTCTCAGTGAATCTGGGAGACATGAGTGAATGAACTCACTAGCTAGGATATATTATTTACAGTAGTATAAAAAGTCCATGATTACCAGAAGTTAGGTCATTAAACTCACAGTAGTTGTTATTAGTCAGGTAAGGGGCCCTGTGGGGTTTCTGTTGTGTGGTCACAGAACCTCTCCCTTTCTGTCATATGAAAGATATCCCTATTTTTATCTTTATGACCAGATAATCTAGCTTATCACCTCTTGGCATTACCCATCTGGTTACCTAAAGTACCTAGAGTCAAGACCCAAAGGAGAAGCCTTGGCTCTCACCCTGAAACTGATGTGCAGCATAGCTTTTCTCAAGTTCCCCATGTGTAATAACTTTTTTTTAAAGTACACTTGAGGTCCATTTGCTGTGAAATACAAAAACATTATCAGCTCAATGTTGACATTTGCCAAATTTTCCATTTTATAGTCTTAGCAGAAGTCCTTAGCTTTTATAGAGCTATCTCACCTTACTCTGTCCTCTGGATCTCCAAACATTTGCTTCAGGTTGGAAAGATCTGGATAATAAGAAGCAGGAGGAGATATAACCTCTAGGACTCCAGACTGGATTTCTCTGGGGAAGCTGTGAAGAAAAGCTTAGTGAGACCCCATTCCTCAAAAAGATTTTTGAAGGCAATCACAGAAGCTCCCGAGGGTTAGGCCTGCTCCTCCATAAATGGAATTCACAACTCTAGCAAAGAAATGAAGTCACGTAGATTAGGAAACCAAGAAGAGGTCTTTGTCAACCATCAGAACAGACAGGACAGTAACTCACTGAAGTCTCAGAAAACACTGAAGAGAAGGCTGTTTCAGAAATCCTGCCCCTCCTGCATTTACAGGTACTCATAATCTTGATATGGTTGCCAAAATACAGCAGTAATTCACAACCAAATCCACTATCTAGAACTACACACAACTGTTTCCCCTTGCACAAGAGTGCCTAGCTTCCTTACACTTGCTCTAACTCTAATGCCATATTCTAGCCAAAATGATACTGTCCTGGAGTGGGGCTTTGGTATGGGGAATCTGGATCTAGTCTCTGCTCCAAAGATTAAGTTTTCCATTTAAAAAGTTGTTTAAAAAAAATGTGTAATCAATTTTAGTAGCCAAACCTGGAAGCCAAATCTCTCCCTTTCTCCAAAATATACAAAAAAAATCAAAACAAAACACTTCAGTTTTTAATAGGTACAGGATCACTGAAATAAGGAGTTTTCAGAACAGAGTTCCCCATTCCCTATGATTGATGAGAAAAAAGCTTCTTTCAGTCAGCTGCACTTCAGGGCCTTATCTGTTTTGTGACTGTTACCCACACTATAGCTTTTCTCTGAAAGCAGCTTTTGTCAGACAAAATAAATCTACCTATAAGTGTATTTTTTCCTCAAACATTTTAATTCAGTAGTTGTTCCTCTCAAGCTGCTCTAAGGTTTTTTAACATGCATGTGATGCTATGTACACCTCTAGGAAAGAATGATAAAAGCAAGCAAAACTGCATTGGGAACCAGGCCTTTGTTTGACAGATCTTATATTAATTTGGCATGGCAAAGAATACCCATCTCATGTTACCCATTATATAATAGTATTTGACATTACAAATATTACCCCACTGCTGTCCAAAGTCCATTGCCTCCATGAAAAAGAGGCAAATGAGGAAACAAAGACACCTAGGAAACATAACAGACATCAGAATACACTGCAGGGCTGTGAACTCCATGGGGACCTAATACATGTAGCCTCAGGTGCCTTGAATTGCATCATTAATTTTGTGGTGAAAAGACTTAGGTTCGAGTAAATATTTATCAGAGGCTTAAGCTGAGACCTGGTCTGCTTAGTTAACGTGTATTTATGAAATAATAACAGGAAAATAAACTGACACATGCTTCTGTTCTGAATTTCAGTGTGTTACAATACACGTAATAAGAGTGCACCTTTGCCTCATTTCTTAGCAGCTTCGTTTCAGGATGGTAGAGTTGAAGTTTATTGTTGAAATGCTCTAATTCTTTACATATAAGTTCAAAATGTGTTTGCTGGCTGTTGTAGTCTATATACTCTATAGGACTTACCTGGTTTTAACACTTTCTGCAACACTGTTAACATACTCTGCATTCACCTAAAGAAAAGAAGTGGGGGTTCATTTCAAGTCACCCATTTTTGTATTAAGCAATATTTTGTAGGGAATATTTATATGTAAACACTTCATTTTTATCCTCTAATTCTTTTAATTCCAAAGAAAAGCAATAGGTTATAACAGCATTTCTACTAAAGGACAGGATGGGGTTTTCGAGCCAACTGAACTTTCAATGTAGTTGAAAGTAAACAGAACTATCTCCAGCTATGGTTTCTGCATTTTGTTTTTTCACTGTTTCTGCAGCAGGACAAGCATTTTCTGCATAAAATTCTGTTCTACAGCTTTAAGTTAAGCATGATCATATAACTGTCAGTAAAAAGTGCTGTTTCAGGTTACTCATCCAAAAATCACAACAGAGGCCTGAGGCTGCTGAGAAAAGTCACCTAAGCAAAATTTTCTAAACTAGCAATACTTAAAAGTTTTATTTAGAGTTTCTTCCTAATATAACAGACTTAAAGCTCTTGGTCTGGGAATTTTGATGACATACTTATTCATTGCTGCTGTTTCATTAAAGTAACATTTTTAGTGTGCAAAACACATCTCTTAATTATACTAAAGAGTGCTAAGTTTTATGGGTGCGATTTCCAAAGCAATACGACACCTGTCTTAGCAGTCAGGACCTTTTATTTTTAATACACACAAATAATCATTAGCAGCTATACTTTGAATTTGTAATAATTAAAAATGATGTGAAGTGGTAAGTAAAGAACTGCGATAAGAAAAATACCAACAGCTTTTCAATTCACTTTCAGTCAATAAGTTACTCTGCCTTAACTCATAATGTAAACATTTAACTTGATCTTCTGTAACTTTATGGGGAAAAGGAAGGTCTAGTTTCATGATCAGCGAACACACCTGCCATACTCTCATAATAAAATGTTCTTATCACCTCTCATTATCAACCTGCTCTAATTTACTGCATGGCTGAGAAATGGAAGCTGCAGGAATGTGACTTTGGGAAAGGGAGAAAGGGAAGAGACTGATTCTTAAAACAGGAGTTTAATCCTAAATTGGCTGAAATGGACTATTACTACAACCAAAACTACAGTGCCAGGTTAGGACTATCAACATTCAGAATGAACTATTCAGAAGTTAACCCTTAAAGAACTCTCTGAAGCCCAGTAATGGCTTTATCTAAACGGCAGCTAGGCAAACCTCGTCATTGCAAGGGCTCTTAATTGGGAAATAGAAGCTGTAAAATAAGTTCAGCTCCTGAAAATTATGCTGAAGAGGAACTACAGCCAGTAAAATTAGGCCTATTTATTGTTGTGACCCAAACTGAAAAATGGAAGTCAAGACCTAACTTAATAAAGTGAACTATCTTCTGTTTGACAGTATTACAGCTGCAAGAGCTGCTCTATGTGATGACTGAACTAAAAAAGCAAACTTTAACTGTTAATGAATACGTGTATGAAATTTAATGTTGTTTATGGAAGGACAAAGAAATATGAGCAATAAATATCAAGTCTGAATAACTGCAGTCTTTTTACCTGCAAGTAGCTATCAATAGCTAACTCCCTTCTGTAGCTTTTTTCCAATGCGGTCAAGACATTTTGGAATGAGGGAAAAAAAAAAAAAATCCTTTACCCCTAATATTCTATCTTGACCACTGTTTACTTTCCCCAATGTTGAACCGTTTAAGTCTTTGAACAGTTTTCTTTGTCACAACCCATGTCAATACACAGGCAAAAGGCAAGGCTCCAGCATGTCAAGGTACTTTGCAAGATAAGACAATATCAAAACAGCAGATAAATAATCTGAACTTTTGTTAGGCTGAATAAGTTTACTTTTTTTCCAGTTCTACAGAACTTTTCTGTGGAGGATTTACATTTCATTCTTGAAGCAGAATACTTTGAGAGATAAATAATGAGTTCATATTTATTTGAAAACCTGACTGCAACAGCTGTGTAAATGTCATATGACTTTTTACCCTTTGATCATCTGAGTTACAAGGTTTTTTCCAGATATGAACACTGAAGCACTAACTGCTCAGTATCTCCTCCAAACTTAAAGAAATCCTTCCCAAAGACCTAGCTAGCAGTATTTTGCAGTGTCCTACACTATTACACTGACATAAATATCTATATTGTCTTTCTGTCAGCATACTGCACCTTTCCACACAAACTTACCTCTGCTATAAAGACGATTATCACGCAGTCATTCTTTTCCTCTTCAGAAAGTTCGTACAGTAGGGAATGCAGTGTACTTATCAGATAATGTTGTTTTTCCCTTTTCACAGTAGGGATACCCATCACCAGTGAGACTGCAAAGAAAGAAGTCCACAAGCCACATAACCTTAAGTCAGGTAAAGGGAAACTGGAAGTACATTTTAATTTTTATTTGATGTGACCAACAGACTTAGTGACAGTTAATATTCCTATAGCACTGTCACAGCATTTGCTTTGCTACCTGGAAGGAGAGATACCTCCAGCTAAGTTTAGGTTAGAGACACCTGTGTCTGTGTTAGAAGCACCAGGTCTACACTGTGTAGACTCAACATTTGAGAACTTGGAGATATTAGGAGATACTACTACCTCTGGCAAACACATAGGTATCTTCTATTGAAAGTGGGTACTGCAAAAGTGCTAGCTCTTGGTATGGAGCTGGAGATCTGAGTTGTAAGAGTTAAACCAACCCTGCTCTAATGAGCAAGTGCTCACAGGAGGTGAGTGCCGTATATCTCAGAAAGAAATCCAACTCAAAAAATCTTTCTGAGCAGTCTAATTGATGTGACTCAATGGCTTTGACAAAATAATAATAATAATAAAAAAGGAGCTTAGACGTTATCAAGAAGAAATGAACTAAGATTACCTCTGGCAGAGACTCCACTAGAGGCAAACCTATGCTGAATTACATCGTTAGATTGTAAACAGGTTCTCGCTTTTTCCATTGGTATGGTCATTGCCTAAACCAGGGACCTAATCCAGCTCAGTAAACCTGTGGAATTCTTACTCCTTACAGATGACTGCTATTCACAAAACCTCGTGGGTCTGGGAAGGAAGCAGCAGATTTTGAAGGAGTAGCTGCAGTTCATCATCTGTGCCAGTGATAGCTCAAAATGCCAGCACTCCAGCATTCCTTCCCAGCACATAACCTGCTAAACTACTGGGGGTTTGTTTGGTTTTACACACTTAAGATCAATCTGTAAACAGAGGTCTTGCTGTTGTGATTTTAATGTATGAATAAATGGAAACTAAACATGGAGCATTCTTTCATTACTTATTACTTTTCTTCCTTCCTCCTTCCTTCCCGTCCCCCTTGTTTGTGAATGTATTTGGTTTTCTGAGGGTCTTTTGCAAATCATTTTGCTGACAACCTCTGGTCTTTTTCAGACTGACAGATCTATGGGCACTCCAGTGAGAACTCCAGCACTAGATCACATTGCTACAGGTGCACCTACAATTGAGAAGGCTGCAGAAAGTTATCCATTGTCATGGGCATGGCCAAGTTGGTTTTTCAGTTAAGCCAAAAATGCTGCCAATGTTTCTTTATATAAAATCACCCTAGAGGAGGGTCATAATTTCAACAAAACATAAACCCCCGCAAATGGTTGATGAGTTCCTTATTATTGCTTATGAAAGTTCTTTTTAACTATCACATGAGAGTTAGGAGAAGATGTAACTGTATATTTTGTATTAGATTTCAACAGAATTCATTATGATTTGTGCAGGTATTAGCTGATTTTGCATGTGGATGAAAAAGTTACACTGAAAATTTATTAATATCTTTTAAAGAATCTCATCACCTTTCCATTTGCTTCTAACTTTAGCAAACCGAGTACATAATAAATTCTCCTTGGCTTCCTCATTCATGTTCATTTTAGAGGAAAAAATGTCAGCTAATGCATCTCAGCCATATGAATATATGAATAAAACCAGTATTTTTTCTCAATTATGACTATTTTTTGTTGATATTTAAAAAGATTTATCAGAATACTTCAGGGTAGAAACTTGAAATTGGGAGGGGTGTGGTAGAAGTCCTTTTGCCATCCCCATTAAAATCCATTCATTTTGGCAGCATTATAAATTTCAGGGGAAAACCCACTCCAAACTTTGAGTATGCTTGATTGTTAGAACTTAATATATAATATAAACACATAGAAAATATAAGCCAAGCTTTATTTCCTACCTCCAGTTCTCTGTTGCCCAAAAATAACATTTGGGAAAACAGCATCTTCATATTCTTGAAGGTGAGGTAGATAGCAGTACATGTTTATAAGATTCACTGGGAATTTTCTGGTGAAGTTTAACACTTTCCACTTCATATCATCTTAAAGAAATAACACACATATAAAGAGCCAGCAGTGAAGCTTATTATTTAAATTGTTTTCCTCAACTGAATACTATCAGATTACTACACACACTGTTGATCAATCAGAAGTGTTTCTCTGAAGTGGTTCTGTATCATATGTTGCCCTCCTCTGCTAATAAACTGAGAATGGCCCAGTACAACCCCCCATGCCCCAGGCAATGGTGCAGAGCTCCCTGTGCCTGAACAGCTGTAGGATTGAGCCATCCTGAAACACAGTGAGCAGTTATTTTAAAAGCAACAGGAAAAAAAATACCTTTTTTAATTAAAGGAACACAGATTCTGATTGATAACTTTCTTAATTACTTAACAAACTTAAACGGTTCCCCTAAAATATAACACATGGTGGTCTCAGGGCTCAAACAGAAGTTCTCAGGTTTTAAAATATCCTATGGCAAAAAGGAGAACCAGATCCAGGCCTTTAGAAACTATTTGAAAAGCAAAAGACTGTAGTAGTTAAAAGTAAGAAATATTTTTCTTTATTATTTTAAAATAAAGATTAAAATAATATTTATTCATGTTGAAATAACTCAAGTGTGACCTTACAAAAATAATCCTATTTTTTTTTTATATAAGCCTTGTAAAACCCAGATACCATTAATTCACTAATCTATCTTCCTTGCTATAAACATTCCTGAACATTCCAGTGGTGGTAAAAATTCTTCAAATAAATCTAATAAAAAACTTGGAAAAATTAATTCTAAAATAATTATAAAATCAATTATAAAGAAAGTTGTGCTTAATGTAGAGATGATATGCACCATGCAATTTTAACAAAAGTATTTGAATGGATTAAAATTCAGACTATATTTACAAATGTCCTTGGTTCAGCAGTAGCAGTCATTTTTCTCCTTCTTAGTAGCTGGTGCAGTGCTGTGTTTTTCTTAGTCTGAGAACAATGCTGATAACACCAATGTTTAAGCTGTAGCGCTTACCCTGATGAAGGACTTTTCAGACTTTCATGCATTGCCATGAGGGGCACAAGATGCTGGGAGGAAGCAGAGACAGAACACCTGACCCAAGCTAGCCAAAGAGGTATTCCATATTACAGCACGTCATGCCCAGTATATAAACTGTGGCGAGTTACTCAGAAGGGCTAGATTGCTGCTTGGGTCGGGCTGGGTATTGGTCAGTGGGTGGTGAGCAGTTGTATTCTCTTCCCTTGTTATTTCCCTTATCATTATTATTATTGGTGGTAGTAGTAGTGGTTTGTGTTATACCTTAGTTACTGGGCTGTTCTTATCTCAACCCGTGGGAGTTACATTCTTTCATTTCTCCTCCCCATCCCTCCAGGAGCGGGAGGGAGGAAATTACGGGAAAGTGATTGAGCCGCTGCAGGGTTCTGAGTTACCGGCTGGGCTTAAATCGCAGTTCTTTTTGGCACCTAAGGTGGGGCTCGAAGGCTTGAGATAATGACAGATCTGACCAGAGTGTGTCTAATTGTATCTGTGATAAACATTCATTGATCGGGTTAATTATCACTTATTAGGATGTTGATTTATTTGCTCTCAGAGTTGTTGAGCTTGGCCTCAGAGTTTCAGCATGTCATATCTCACTTGCAGCCAGTGTTTGCTGTTTTAACGTTTATCAGCTGGGGGGCCTGAGCCAAGGTTCTTGTTTTGCTGTACTTCATGGTAATGACTTGTAATACAATAGAATCATTGATCATGAGACTGATCCATTATGCATTCTCGGTGTGGTCATCACCTCTATACTTTGGGAGGCATATAATGGGAATTTTTAGCAATTAAACATCTTTTTTTTCCTTTTTGGAGGGTCAACCTATGAAGGAGACATTCCCTCACACTCTCCACTTCCCCTCCAGGCTATTTATAGCAGCACCTAGAGGTTTTGAATATCCTTTAGATACCTTTGAAACTTGCCTGCTTCTTTTGCTGGGAATTGGCATGCTGCTGCAAATAGTGCATGTGCTTTTGCCTACGGCCATACCACCCTGAGAATGCCCAATCTCATCTGATCTGGGAAGCTAGAGCAGGGTCAGGATCAGTTAGTACTTGGGTGGGAGACTGCCTGGGAATCCCGAGCGCTGTAGCTTTTTTTGTCAAAGGACTGTCGTGGTTTAAGCCCAGCCGGTACCTCAGAACCACACAACCACTCCCCCTCTTCTTCCCCCCTGCTCCTGGAAGGATGGGGAGGAGAACTGAAAGACTGTATCTCCCACAGGCTGAAATAAGAACAGTCCAGTAACTAAGGTATAACACAAAACCACTACTGCTATCACCAATGCTGATAATGATAAGGGAAATAACAAGGGGAGAGAATATAAAACTAAAAGGGGAAAAAAAACCAATAAGCAAACGTCTGCACAATACAATTGCTCATCAACTGCTGACCAATACCCAGCCTGACTTGAGCGGTGACCTTGGCCTTCTGGGTAACTCCCCCCCAGTTTATACACTAGGCATGATGCGCTGTGGTATGAAATACCCCTTTGGTTAGTTCGGGTCAGGTGCTCTGTCTCTGCTTCCTCTGGTTCCTTGTGCCCCTCCTTACTGGCAGAGCATGAGAGACTGAAAAGTCCTTGATCAGAGTACACACTATTGAGCAGCAAATAAAACAACAGTGTGTTATCAGCACTGTTCTCAGACTAAAGTAAAAAAGACAGCACTGCACCAGCTACTAGGAAGGAGAAAAATAACTGTTACAGCTGAAACCAGGACAACAAAGAATAGCAAATGATCTTTCTCATCATTAAGAAAACTGCTTGGAAACAGAACTGAAGATCACTCCAGACTTTATTTACCAGCTAAGGCTAAATCTTGCTTTTCTGCCACTGGCATCATATGGCTCTTGCACTAGAATTTTGTCTGTCATTCTCTCTTGCTGACTTTTTCTGTATCCTACTAGCTACTGCAACACGTGTGTCTTCATGCCCCAAATGAAAAGTATACCTCCTATGAATTTATCTGTGGTAATTCATACTTCAATGGGTGTCTCCTCCAGACACTTTATCTGTTGTACAAAGACGCTGGTGCTAGGGCATTGCTGATATCAGAACACTGCCTCAACTAGTTTTAGCCAACAACATCACATTGACAGCCTATCTTGCAGGTAGTTTATTAATAATCTGAAGGAAATGTGAATGCTTGTAAGTGATATCAATTAAAAGAAAACCTTTGAGGAGGGTTTCTCTGATTTTATTCGGTTTAAGACAGACACCAACATGCAGTTAAGTTTACTCTGATGACCTGGCTTCTTCCCATTGTTTAATTAAACTTCTTTTTTACTAAAAAATATATTAGCTCCTTGCCTTACAGATTGTTGTACATCCCCATCTATCTGATCTATCTGTACATTATAGTTGCATACAATAGCTTAGACTATTTGATTCTGTCCTCTAAAAGGAGTGATACAGTAGTGCAGGATCTGACTTCCTCCCTTTTAGCTGGAAGAGCTACTTCCCCGGGGGAGAGAAGGAAAAGTAGAATAGGCATCTCTGTGCTTGTTGTGAGGCATTCCACAACACCCCTAAGAGTCTAGATGCTACTGAAAACTACTTTTAAAAAATTCTTATTTGCATTCTGTACTGTGAGCTGGTATCAGATTAAAACAGGGAATTAACAAGGACTTTTAGAGGGGAAGAAGGAACAAGGTGCTTTCCTGCCTTGTGTAGTCAGCTTTGTTTCTTAGACTGTTCTTCTTTTTGTCTGTTTATTCAATACTAATTCAGTGGGACTGTTCAGATGCACCTAAACAAATCCTTGAGTGTTGGCAGGGTTATGGTCTTACAAGGTTTAGAATACGGACCATGTTGTCAGCCACCAGTCACCCCACATACTGTGGACAAAGGCTGTATCTAGCCAGCAAGACCTCATGGGACTTCTTAGCTCCTGGATCAGGCAAGCACCCAGCTGTATGCGGTCTGTACGCCTGCTGAGACGAGACTGTGCACCCAGCACACACACCTTAGTGCCTGGGGTCCACTGGCAGGATGAGCACTCATGGCCAAGAAGGCCCCCCACAAATGTCACTCCACCTAGACAGGAGGGACACCAGGACATCTGAAGAGGTGTACCTGCCTTCCAGGTTAGACACAGCCCTAGTATTTATCAAGGTGTAGTGTCATAGTAGGAGCCGTTAAAATTAGCTTATTCAGTGCTCTGCAGCTGGCAGTAAAAGAGAGATAAGCATTGTAAGAAACATGATTAGCAATATGTACAGCTTTGCCATTATGACCGCACTGCAATCTATTGTGTCCCCTTTTTTTCCCCTCATTTGGTTACTAACTGATCCTATTTAAAGAGGGGCTACAGATTACTTTCCCACCCTTTTAAAAAGTAGATACTTCTGCCTAATGCTAATATAATCAAATCAATGATTTTCCTCCCCACACTGGTGATAAACACAAAATCATAGAAACACGAACACATAAAACTTTGAACAGTTAACACAGTACATTTTTATACACACAAACCTGTATGATTTGTTGTCAAGTTCATTCTTTTTGCAACTACGCGTTTAATTTCATCTAAGGCACTGCTCAGTTCCTGTGATCTTTTCTTATTCTCCTTTTCAGCATACAATAGTCTTTGCCGAAGTTCCAGAAACTGGTTTTGGTACATGTCCAAGTCATTTTCTGCAATGAGAACACAGTATCTTTACAATGTGGTGAACTATATGATGGAATAAAGAGAAAGTTTAAGAACAGGAGACAGTCTAGAAGAAGACACAACCAGCAATGTGTAAACAATAATAAAAGAGACCACTCAAAATTTTTGCATGGAATGAAGAAGTCTGGAAGAGTATTAAGTAGCAGAACTTACGT